AGTGGATTGAAAGTAAAAGGATGGAAAAGTGATCGATCATTAATCGAAAGAAAGTGGAGCAGGAGTGGCTATATTAACATCAGAATAAACAGACTTCAAAACAGAGAAAATTACCAGGGACAGAGAGAAATCTTGCACACTGTTAAAAGGGCCAGTTCATCAAGAAGATAAGAGAATCCTAAATATGTGTGTCCCTCACAACAGAGCTGCAGAAGGTGCAGAACTAAAGCTGTCAGAGCTGCACGGGGAAATAGAGAAACCCACAATCATGCGTGGAGACTTCAAAATCCCTCTCTTCCGTGTTGATAGAACAACTAAAAAATCAGCAAGATTATCGAAGAATCACCAGTCAACAGGGTCCAAATGGCTTTTATAGAACACTACACCCAACAACAGCAGGGTTCACATTATTTTAAAGCACCCAAGGAACATTTGCCGAGAGAGACCATAACGTGGGCCATAAAAAAAAAAAGAAAATCAACGTATTTATATGAACTGAACTCATGGAGACAGCATCTTCCGACTCGATGAAATCAAACTAGAAATCAATGCAGAAACATAACATGAAAATCTCCAAACCCGCAGGAATTAACAACAGTTTTAAGTAATTAAGGGTCAAAGAGAAGTCTCACAGGAAATAAAAAAAATGAATTGAATGAAAGTAAGTAAAAGGGCAGGCAAATTTCATTTTTAATTACAGTATAAAACATAGACAAAAGACCATGGACACTATCCTTAAATGTAAAGTGTTTGCTTCCCAGAAGAAAACAAAACAAAAAATGATGGAGAAAATGCTGTGTGTCAGATTTCAGTTCATATTCTTCTTTCCTGGGCACACAGAATACTATAATTCCCAGCTCCTTTTCAAAAGTTGTCAGTTAAAAAATAATATATTCAAATTAATATCATCCAAAGAAGTTTTGTTAAAGGGTGTAGGGAGACCACAAGGGATATTACAAAAGAATAGAGCTGTTCCTAATCCGAGGCTTGAAGGGGCAAATAAAAGACTTAATTAAAGACTGTGGGGTGAGAATGTGTAGAGACAACCACCTGGCAAGGAGCTGTGACCTTCAGTCAAGTGAACCAGCTTTGGTGGGGTGACACTATAGGGAGGAGCCTGGAGAAACCCATCTTTCTCTCCTTCCTCCTTCCTTGATCTCCTGCCTGAATCCCAGGGGCCAAACTCAATGGAACCCAGAAAGTTTACGGCATGGCAAGGTGTCCCTTTGTTCTGTAATCCCTACAGATCAGCCTAGCAGAACAGAAAACAAGATGGGGAAAGGTTGATCAGAAATCAGGCAGTGGGGAAGAGGAATGTGGAAGTAAATGGGAAGCTATTTGAGTAGCAGAGAGACCCAGCAATTGGGTGACAATCTCAGAAACACGTTTAAAGTGGCAACATCACTAGACGGGCTACTTGGAGAAGAGTTGCCAAAAGAGGCTGCCCAAGTGCCCATTGACCATGATGTGAGTGAGAAATAAACCTTCATTGTAGGGAAGCTTCTGAGAATTGGAGTTGTTTGTTAAAGCAGCTAGTGTTAATTACCCTTACTAATACACTCAATAAAGTCAGGGTCTCAAATTCTATTAATATGTGGAGTGGAATATTAAATGCACAGTCCAATACTCAGGTGTAATTAAAAAGTGATTCCAATATTTACTTGTGTCTTTTGAAAAATGCCAATGGGGATGTGATTCATAATTTTAGTGACTGCTCTCAAATCCTGTTTTATAACAAATACAGTCCTCTTTTTTTTTTCCAGATACTGACATCTATCAAGCTTTAAAAACTCACCTCAACTTTCAGTCTGTACAGGACTTTTTCTTTTTCATCCCCTTTTCCTTTCAGCCCTTTATAAGTGGGTTGTTGAGCCTCTCTCTTTGTTTTCCCCATCTTCCCTTTCTTCATTCCTTCATCACAGAAGATCCCCAAGTCTGGCTGCCTAATACAGAGAGATGTGTAGGGCTTATCTATGATTAAGAGATGAAAATGGGAGGGACCCAGGGACAGGGTTAAAACACAGGCCCATGTGCCTGTCGCAGGCTGTCCTCCTTGGGAAGCAGTCTGAGACAGGTGACATGCAGCATGCTGATTTGCAAGGATGTTTTGGATGGACACCCATGGAAGGGAGAGGGAGAAAGAAGGATGGGCAGAGGGCAAGCCCAGCTGTGATGCAGGAGCTCTGGAGCTCGTATGTCCCATCAGCCTTGTCTTTCTTTGGGACAAAATGGCTCGGCCTTTATCCCTCTGCCTCCATCTATTGTTGATGGGGGTTGCCCAGGGAAGCAGATGACCTCGAGTGAGGAGAATCCAGAAAGGGCTGACAGCTGAGGACTACAGGCTGACAGCTTTCATCACAGCTGGGACGACAAATCCTGCCTTGCAGAGAGACCTGGGCAGCTGGTCTCTGCCCATCACCATGCAGAGGGACTGTGAGTGTACTCGGGTGGGCTGCAGCTCTGGTTCTGAGCTGGCTGCAGTTTGTGTGGTCATCGCTGCGGTGCAGATTGCTGTTGTTTCATCCACATTCTTCATACCTTCTGTGCAATATTTTGAGGCCCTTATACCGTGCCACATTTACCTCTGCCTTGAAGAACCCCATCGATATTTTTCCTTTCAAGAGGCCTCACTCTCCGACTCTCAGCCTGTCCTGCCCTCCTACTTCAATGCTGCTGGGTCCTTTCCTTGGGAATTCCAGCCCCTGAAGGTTCTCCCTAGGCTCTGTGGGCTGCAGGGTTATAGAGAAGTGTGCTTCTGGCCTTGCTGTAATGCATTGATTTCTTATTTTTATTAAAGGACAGGGTAATGACTATAGTCACTGCAAGGACTTATTTATGGCTCTGTCCCTCCTGATTGTTAGCCTTAGGAGGCACTCTGGGGCTGTGGATAACTCACTGGCCTCCTGATTGCTTGTAATTAGGGACTGGGCAGGAATAGCTTTTTAATTTCTCTTTTCCCAATGAGACTGATTTTTCAATTCTTGCAGTGACCCAGACCAGCCTTGTATAAACTTTGGAGTCAAGCCCTGATGAGCCCAGAGAACAGGGGAATAAAGGCGGTGGAGCCCTGAAGCCTGCCTCTGCTTGGGTTTGAAGCACAGCTCAGCTGTCACTACGTACAGGGGCCGGGGGAAATTTCTTAATCCAGATTCATGTCAGTTTCCTCATTTGTTAAACATGGATAATAATGCCTCCCAGTTACAGTTGTTGTGGGGAAAAATTCTCTCAACCTGTGCTTAGCTCTGTGCCTGACAATTAATAGGTACCCAAGCAGTGTTGATTGTGTCATTGTCATTATTGCTATTTCCACTTTTTTTTTTTCCCTTTAGCTTTTAAGTTCAGGGGTACATGTGCAGAATGTTTATACTTTTCCTATGAGAAAAGTGAAGCTCGGACTGCAATTAGTGATTCTGACTGCCTGTTAGCAGCTTCTGAGAATGTATTTCATAATCAACTATCTTTTGGTACTGTTTCCCACAACCCGCCTCTAGTTGTGATGCCCTGGTAATACCCTACAACCATTCTAATCCCAGTGCCAATTTTAGTGCCCCCCAGGGAGCTCCTTTTGAGCCCTTGGTTCAGTTTCGTTCTCACTAATTGGGATCAATGCTCATTCTCTGTGGCCCTCCTGGTAACAGAGCTCTCTGAATCTACCAAAGAACTCATCTCCAAGGGGAATAACCTAGGCCAAGGCAAGAAGTGTGAAACTGCTCAAGGGAGGAGTTTCTGGAAAGTTGTCAATATTTAATGGCCATCTCTACATCTCTAGGCTTACTTCTTATGATGGTTAATGCTGTCAACTTGATTGGATTGAAGGACACAAAGTATTGATCCTGGGTGCGTCTGTGAGGGTATTGCCAAAGGAGATTAATATTTGAGTCAGTGGACTGGGAAAGGCAGATCTATCCTTAATCTGGGTTGGTACCATCTAATCAGCAGCCAGCATGGCCAGAATAAAAAGCAGGCAGAAGAGTGTGAAGAGACTAGACTGGCTTAGCCTCCCAGCCTACATCTTTCTCCCGTGCCAATGCTTCCTGACCTTGAACATTGGACTCCAAGTTCTTCAGCTTTGGGACTTGGTTTGGCTTCCTTGCTCCTCAGCTTGCACACATGGCCTGTCGTGGGACCTTGTGATCATGTGAGTTAATACTCCTTAATAAACGCATACATATTTATATATGTATGTATCTCCTATTAGTTCTGTTCCTCCAGAGAACTCTAATACTCTTCTCATCGTCAAGTTCCTTGAATAATAAGCTTCAACCATTTATTTGCATTTTCTTGCATATTCCATGCTTAAAACCTCTGAGCATACATGTAGGCTGTTTCTTCTGCCTGAAAATCTCCTCAGTCCCCTGTCTTCACTTGGCTGACTCCTGCAGTCTACCAAAGTTCAGGTTTTCTTTGTTTAATATCCTCCTCCAAGGTTGCAAGGTCTTCAGATTTTTATGGGAAATAGTCATATTTCATCATGTTCCATTCAAGTAGTTTTTTCTTGGTCCTGTTGCTCTTTTGGCATTTCCTTTAACTGTCAACATTACAACTTAGATAGGGATTATCCAGAACTTATAGGTATGATGAAAAAAGGGAGTACTGTTTACTTACAGCTGAAGGTTTGATCATAGAGACCTTGTGCTTCATGGTTTTATGTATCAACTACTCTATGTATGGAGATCATGAATTCCATTTATTCATCCATTCATTCATTTATCCATTCATCCATCCATCAACCCACCCATCTGACCATCCAGCCACCCATCTATCTACCCATTTATCCATTCATCCATCCATCTACTTGTCCATCCATATACTCATCCATCCATTCATCCATCCATCCATCCATTTATCCATTCATTCACCCACCCACCCACCCACCTATCTATCCATTCATCCCTCCATCTATTCATCCAACAAAAATATTTTAATCGAATAATACAAACCTAAATCAGGACAAAGCGGGTGAATCCCTGCTTTCAACAGCTCACAGCCTAACATGGGAGATAAAATATATGTACAAAATAATAGACTATAGCAAAATGCAGTCAGTCTGATATAGTCAGGATTCCACAGAAAAACAAAACAGCTTTTCTGATGGTGAGAGTGTAAAGGAATTCTTGGGAGAGAATGTTGTACTTTAGTTGGAAAGAATGGTTGAAATTTAACCAGTAGCAGCAGAGACAGGTCCTTCCAGGCCAAGGAAGGAGCAAGAACAATGGCAACAGAAGCGACTGTGAGGTGTAATGTCGGGACATTTCGTGCATCTATGTGTGGCTTGAAATAGTGAGAAGTGAGGCTGCATAGCTAGTTATCACAACAGAGGCCAAAGCTAGATAAAAAGTGTGAACTACTTTTGGTAGAAGATCTGAAATGATTGAGAAGTTCTGAGTGTCTGAGTGACATCAGGAGAGCTGTGCTTTTGGCAGATTTATTTGGTAATGTTGTGCAGAATTTTTTTTTCCAGGTAGAGACCAAAAGTAGATTAAAGATTCTGGTGAGTAAAGTGAGATGTCTGGCTGGCCCAGCCCTTTGCAAATGAGATTGCACATGGGAGGAGAGTGAGGGTGTTTAAGAAGCTGGTTGTGTACAACTTGGATGGTTGTGTACAGCTGAGAGAGAGGTTTTGAATCCAAGTAAATGGTGAAGCCTTGACCGAACAGAAAAATTATGGAGGAAGACAAGGAGTTTTACTTTAGCAAAACAAATTAAAAGCAAGAACACCTGGAAGGAGGCATGGACAGCAGTGGGAATGCAGAGCTGGAGCACACCAATTCATCAGGGTTGGTGCCAGAGTTTGGATTAATTGCCTTAGGAGCTTGTAGGGAAGAATAGCAGAAAAATGGAAAGCTGGTGGTTCTGTTCTTTAGTATATAGACTTCTTTTGCCATGTGAAGGGCCCAGTAGCTAACAGCTTTCTTGACCTTAAGACGAAGTGAAACCAATTGCCTTGATTGACTGAGGTGCCCAAAAACATTTAGAGAGGACTAGCTCCTTCCAACCGCAAGGCTGGAATGTGGACGCAGGGTGTTTGCTGTACTAATCATGTTTACTTCGTTCCATCACCCAGTTACGGTGTCCAGAAGACAGCATTCCTCCTGCCCTTGCTCCCCTCAGATAGACAGTGAAGGATCAGAGTGTTGTTTCAAAGCACATTTCTTTCTGGAGTCCCAGAAGGAAACAAACACCCCAGAGCCATGTGACAACCTAAAGGGCAGGAACGTTAGATGAGGGTGAGACCAATTCCTGAGGCACATGGAAGCCATAGATCACTCCATCTTCTCAGGAGACTGGCTGAGACCATTGTCCCAGAGTCCTTGGGAGTTTACGGTTTTGTATTAAATCTAAGCATTTCCTTTTGATGAAGTATTTTATGATGGCATTGTAAATTACTCTAAGGAAACTTTTTAGTCACCAAAATTAATGACACTGATAAATTTGGGCAATGTCTTTTTAAGTGTCTCTGTGAATGAACACTTTTAAAATTTCCCCAGGTTCTAGTCAAAGGTAGAGCCTCCTGGTGATTATTTTTGTACTTTCCATGTCTCAAGTGACTTCTTTTATTAAGATTCCCAAGAATAAGACTTATGATTTATCTTGATGACATATTAACAGCCAGTCATACCAAATACATTTTTCTTTCTTATGTACCAGAAAGTATATTCTTGCTGTCAGCCTTTGGGGTACCATGAATTTTAAAAAGTTCTCTGGTGTTTTCCTAAACATTGAACATTTTTAGCTTTGTGAGTTATCAAAATAGTTAGAAGTTCTGGAAAGAAAAAGAAACAGAAATGAAGTCAGAATGATGTCTTACCAATAAGTTGTAAGAAAATGTGCAATTCATCCCGTGACTTTCATTTATAAAATGACTGAATTGGACTAACATTTATGGTGAATCCTATGAAGGGGTAAACACCATTTGTAGTTGGCCAAAATTAGTGGACTCAGTGGCCACAACTACTGTTTCCAACATAAAGAGAGTTTATAGTTCACATTAAAAATCATTTTCAAGGCAGTGTCATTTTGGAAAGAAACAAATGAAATTATTTGAATTTCACAGCGTCCTTTATTGTTTATCTCTTGGACTGCACTTCTTGGATATGTTTACAGCAGAAAAAGTAATCAAATCACCAGCCACTTCAGATTTTCCCAAGAGTAGATGAGTCATTTCAATTCATTGGAGGAGGGAAGCATCAGCATCTTTCATCTTTGCAAAAAAACCCACCTTTCTTATTTTATATAACATAATTTGTCTCATCTTCTGCATGTAAGCTCTCACATTTGAATTGAGAGGTTCTAATAGAAGTTTAAAAATGCAACATGTCCCTGGGGTATATCGTTGGCACCATCTCCATACAACTAGTTAAGAATTTTTATGTCTCTCTGTCAGATTTCATTTTGACCTTAAATTCTTAATTTGAATTCTTACAAATATAAGCAAAAATGCATGACAGGCAAGGGAGAAATAGAGAAGCAAGGGGATTTATGCATGTGGGTAGTGGCCTCTTGGTGCTTCTGTTCTGAAGAAAAGATTTCCCATTTTTTTAAAGGAAAGAGGACAGAATGTAGAAGTTCAAGAGTGTGCAGTGGAGTCTGGATTTACTCTCACACCTCCTGATATGCCCTCACCATGCTTCTCTGCTCGGTGGAAGAAATTGCTTGGATTTGTGCACAGAGCAGAAATTCTGGCACAAGTTCTTGACATAAAATTGCTGCTCTATTGATAGTTGTTGAATAAATCAGCTCATCAAAATGAGTTGGAGTTTAAATTGTAATTGCATCCTGAATAGAATACATACATAAATAGATAAATAAAATAAGCCATTCTTACTAGATATTTTGGTGGCTGGGACATGGAAACTGACTTAGCTTTACCAGGGAACCTGGTGGATACTGTTGCTTCTCCAAAGTCACCAGAGTTGGCCGGAGGTTCTGGAACTCATTTGAATGAGCTAGAACACGTTTGAAAGCTATAGAGCTCAGTGTTGTTGTTGTTGTTGTTTTGTGAGATAGAGTCTCTCCCTGTTGCCCAGGCTGGAGTGCAGTGTCACAATCTTGGCTCACTGCAACCTCCTCCTCCCAGGTTTAAGTGATTCTCCTGCCTCAGCCTACTGAGTTGCTCGGATTACAGGCACGTGCCACCAGACCCAGAAAATTTTTTGTATCTTTAGTAGAGACGGGATTTCATCATGTTGGCCAGGCTGGTCTTGAACTCCTGACCTTGTGATCCGCACACCTCAGCCTCTCAAAGTACTGGGATTGCAGGCATGAGCCACTGCACCTGGCCTTTAGAGCTCAGTTTTTTAAAAGCATACCCTGATCATTATTCACGGATTGTTCATTTATTTATCCTTCACTTACTAGTTCTACTCATTCATGAACTTTGGTCCTGAGTTGGTGCTTCTTTAATGTATCCCTTCAATCAGTTCTTCCGTTTTAAGTACTTTTATCCTAAGTATACTAAGTGTTTCCTGGCAAGTTGTTGCCCAGCTGGTACCTTCCAATGTCTACTCTTTCTTCCTCATCACCTAGAATTCCTCATCCATTTCAGACTGGCGGTGAGCAAGTGTGTGTGTGTGTGTGTGTGTGTGTATAGAGTGGGTTGGGCCCTCAGTAACAATGACTGGGTGTGGGGCACTGATGTGAGCCAGTGAGTTTAATGAAAACACTGAAATGTTTTCCCATTTCAGTGTTTTCCAAGGCTAGATGGCCTTGGGAAATTAAACAGACAATGGGGCCAAATCCAAGCCCAGGCTTAGGGTCTAAGATCAGAGCATGAAATAGACATCACATGGAGTCCAAATGATTCTGGACCATCCTTTGAACTGTCCACAGAGTTTTGTATATGTCACATCCTTTGAGCACACTGGGGACCTACCTGACATTTCCCAATGAACCATCCCCAACCAGTGTCCCTCCAGGGGTCTCTCTCTCCCGCAAGACTCCCTGTCCCCCATTCCTGCAACCCTCCAACACCTCTTCTCTCCTTCCTCTTTGGCCAGGTGCATATATTTGAATTTGCATAAATTGACTGTAATGTTAGATCTTAGAATCTAGACTTGTAAAGTACAAAACTACTGGGGAAGGTATAAGAAACAGTTCATAGGCTGGGTGTGGTGGCTTATGCCTGTAATCCCAGCACTTTGGGAGGCAAAACTGGGTGGATCGTGAGGTCAAGAGATGGAGATCATCCTGGGCAACATGGTGAAACCTCATCTTTACTGAAAATACAAAAAATTAGCCGGGTATGGTGGCACGCACCTGTAGTCCCAGCTACTGGGGAAGCTGAGGCAGAAGAATCACTTGATCCAGGGAAGTAGAGGTTGTAGTGAGCCGAGATCATGCCACTGCACTCCAGCCAGGCCACAGAGCTAGACTCCATCTCAAACAAACAAAAAAAAAAAGAAAGAGTTTATAAGTAACAGGCCTGTAAAACGGAGTCAGGAAGATGGATCAAGTGTTGGACTTGATGTGGTAGACCATGGAGGGAAGGCTGGACAGGCAGAGCTCTTTCTAACACATCCACTCATTGGCCCAGGAGTGTCCTCATCCACAATACCAAGTTGACTGGGCAGCAAGAATGAGGCGTAAAAAGAGAAGGAAGGGAATATATCAGAGCCCATACACAGTCATCCATAACCGCTCTCCCTGTGTTTATTATCAGTCTGGAATTGAACACTGTTTGTAGGATTTCTTGACTTACATTTTTATAAAACTGTGTATTGCAAGGGTATATTCTACTTAATGTGTTTGTTTACAGTTCTTAATGACACACTGAAATTGAGTCTTCAATTTGAACACAAAAAGTATTTCGAAGGCTGGGTAAAGTGGCTCACACCTGTAATCCCAGTACTTTGGAAGGCCGAGGTGGACATATCACTTGAGGTCAGGAGTTTGATACCAGCCTGACCAATATGGAAAAGCCCTGCGTCGCTACTAAAAATACAAAAATCAGTGGGGCATGGTGGCACATGCCTGTAGGCCCAGCTACTTGGGAGTCCGAGGCTGGAGAATCGCTTGAACATGGGAGGCGGAGGTTGCAGTGAGCTGAGAATGTGCCACTACACTCCAGCATGGGTGATAGAGCAAGACTTTGTTTCTAAAAGAAAAAAAAATTTAAAGACATAGCACCTCAAAATGTCAATAATTTGGGCTGGGCGCGGTGGCTCAAGCCTGTAATCCCAGCACTTTGGGAGGCCAAGGCGGGTGGATCACAAGGTCAAGATATCGAGACTATCCTGGCGAACATGGTGAAACCCCGTCTCTACTAAAAATACAAAAAAGTAGCTGGGCATGGTGGCGTGTGCCTGTAATCCCAGTTACTCAGGAGGCTGAGGCAGGAGAATTGCCTGTTCCCAGGAGGTGGAGGTTGCGGTGAGCCGAGATCACGCCATTGCACTCCAGTCTGGGTAACAAGAGCGAAACTCCGTCTCAAAAAAAAAAAAAAAAAAGCCAATAATTTACTCTACAGATGTTTTGAAGTTAAATTGCAATATGATTTAATAATAAAGTATTATAAATAGAGAAAAGCATAAGCATAATTCTATCATCCTAATGTAAAAGTTCTATTGTTTTTGAGATGGAGTCTTGCACAGTCGCCCAGCTGGCCTGAAGTAGCGCAATCTTGGTGAACTGCAACCTCCGCCTCCTGGGTTCAAGCAATTCTCCTGCCTCAGCCTCCCAAGTAGCTGAGATTACAGGCATGTACCACCACACCTGGCTATTTTTTGTATTTTTAATAGAGATGGGCTTTCACTATGTTGGCCAGGTTGGTCTTGAACTCTGACCTCATGATCCGCCCACCTCTGCCTTCCAAAGTGCTGGGATTATAGGCGTGAGCCATCATGCTTGGCCCAGTAGTTCTTTTTTAATATTATTATCTTCCCTGCTTTTCTTCCTTCCTTCTTTGCCTTCCTTTCCCTTCTTCCTCTTCCCTTTCTTCCTTTTTTCCCTCCCATATTTATGCTGTGTCTGTTCTCTCCAGATGCTGTTCTAGGGCCTGGGGATACAGCATCACAAAACAAAGATTTCTACCCTCCTGGGGATTACAGATATTAAGTAACAAACATAAAAATAAGTAAATAGTATGTGAAGCTTTATATTTTATTAGACAAAGAGTAAACTAGGGTAATAGGGTATGAGATTGCGGGGGGACTGTGACAGGTGATAGGTAATATTACTAAGGACAGTGGTCAAGACAGGTAACCTAGGAGTTAAACCTCCGAAGAGATGAGGGAGGTTCCTGCATGAATATGTGAAGAAAGAGCAGAGAGAACTGAAACCACAAAAGCCTTGAAGGAGGAGCTTTTCTGGAAAGTTCCAGTAATAGCAAAGAGGCCTGTGTAGAGCAAAATGAGTTATGGGATAAGGATATAGGAGGGGAAGTAAGAAAGATGTGATGGGATCCCATCATGTGAACTTTGAGGGTGTTGCCTGTCTGAGTGGAGTTAAGCTGACAAGTTGCATGCAGGTACAGGTTTAATGCATCCTTCTGGCTGCTGTATGGAGAAAGGGTGGAGGCAGTTTAAGGAAGGCAGCAGAGGGAGCAGTAGGGAGCCACTGCACCAATCCAGGCAGTGGATAATTATTCGATGGATAATTCAATCCATTATCCAAGAGATAGTAGTGGCTGGGCTAAGGCGGAGCACTGGTTCAAACATATCTGTTGTGCATGGTTCTAAATGCAACACACTTGACTTTGTGCCTCAGGCAGTGTGCATAATGCTGAAAAATGGCAGGTCAGAAACCATAGTCACTTAGCTGTCAACCTTCTCCTTAGAACTCTTTTTAAAGGACCTGTCATTTTGGGAAGGGGCATGTCTTGGAGAGTTTTGCTAATTCATTGCCTGAGAGTTGTCTGGCAGAGAATATCTATGCATTTATCAAAGTTCTGCTAATGAACATATTAATGAATCATTAATATCATTGTTTGCTGCCTCAAGGATCACAGGCTATGTCCATTTACCTTCATGAAATCTGGTAAGCTAAATGTGTTTGAGATTATGAGATTCTTTTATGCCTAATTTATTTTATAAACTACAAATGTAAATCATGACGCTCTCACATGCAATTTCAGCTGAGAGGGTAATGGCGATGTTGCCATAATTGAGACATTCTATCTCGGGGGGTGTCCACAGAACCGCTGAGTCGCATGCCATGTCTATTTTTTTTAGTGTTTTTAGTTTTAAAAATAATTTCCAGAGTGTCATTTTTGTAATTCTAATTTCAATTTATCGTCTAAACATTGCAATGAGCTTTGGGGGGTATTGCAGCTTGCTTTGGGTCTTTGTCTGCTGACGTTTCTATTACTACAGCCACAGCGAAACAAGAACATTTTTTTGAAAACTTCTGACATAAGCACTTTTCTAAATGTGTTCTATTATGGGGCAGCAGACACCTCAGGGAAGTGTAGCATTGTTGTTGTTTTGGGTGCTGATGTTATTATGATGGAGGTGGTAGCTTTACATCTTTTCCACTTCTTTCCAAGGCAAGTGGAATAAGATAGGGGTTTGTGGAACCTTATCACAGAATACCAGAAGTGGAGAGAAACTTGAAGATAACCTAGTCAGAGCCTTGTATTTTACAGATGGGAAAACTGAGGCTCAGTCTGCTGCATTAACCTAATGAAGAACCAGTGCTTACGTGTTTTCCTGATATTATTAGAATATCGACAGTATCACACCCAACTATATTCTAGGTTTGGCCTTGCCAGAGAAATGGCATTTAGGTGGACAGGGAATTCTCATGGGGTTTTATTCCTTTCTCCTTATCTTTGCTGTAGTTATCTGTCAAAAGACCCATTATTCAGGTTTGAAGGGACACATTCAGCTTGTCAAAGGCAAAGGATAAGGGGTTTAAGGCAACTCTTCTTTCCTTATAGTTAGGTTGCTAGACAAACGATGAGAGAAATCGTTCTTCCAAAGCTGAAGAGAGTCGTAGTGTCTTGCTGTGCATTGTCATTCTTTAGAGACTGAGCAACCCTCCCTGCTAGGGAACCACAGACTTGCAATTCACTGCTTGAAGAGAAAGTCATGCCCTTTGATAACAGACAATAATGACTATACTGAAATAAGGCCACAGCTCAGACAGCAGAGCAGCAACACTGTTGGGAATGGGGGTGTAAGTATAGCCTGATTGATGACTGTGCTCTCTAGGCTCTGGATAGGGTGCAAATTCTGGTGCTGCACACTCTAGGCGATCTTGGACAAGAGTTCAGGCCTCTGTTTTCTCATTTGTAAAGTGGGAATGATAATGCATTTCTGACTTATCAGGCAAGAAGATAGTCAAGTGCCCGAGTGGGAGAGAAGAGTTCCCTGTGACATCTGGTGGCATGTGGTGCCTACTAGTAGTTCTTCCTTGGCCTGACATCCCTAAACCTCTGATAAGCAGTGCGGCAAGGTCAGCTGAGAACTCTGTTAGGGCACTGAGAATCTGGTCAGTGAGGAGATTGAGAGGTCTGCTCTTTCAGTCATTATCTTTTGAGAAATACTGATTTTTACCAGCCACAGATTTGTCAGTATAGCTGTAGTGGCAGTGAACATAGGAGTTCTGGATTAATTTAAATTTAGGGTATCCCAAGACAAGGCTGTCTCCTGTTGTACATAACTACCATATTGATTAGAGTATTAGGCATTGTGCAAAGTGAACTGTGCCTTTTCCTTTATTTTTTTCCCCTTGTTTTTGGGCTGAGTTGGCAGCTTGTGAGTACAAGCATGTGGATCCCTTTGTCATTGTGGCCTCTTGCTGATTTCTGCCTCTGAGCTCTGGGCATGATCTGGCAGCAGCATCTTGAGGGCCTGATGACCTGTGTGCCTTTTCATTCGGGAAAGGGGCATTGCCCCAGTGAGCTACTGGTGTAGCAGGTGCTTCAGCATGCTGGAAGCATTGCTGACACCAGCCCTGGACATCACCTGCTTCAGGAATTGCCTGGGCTGAAGAGTACCACGTCACCCAGGACAGCTCACATCCAGTAATTGGTTGATGTATGAGCTAGAAAGGCCTACCCTCTCACACTGTCTTGGGACAACACCAAAGAACCATCATGGGTTCACAGCTCCCCGCGGGGTCCACTGAGGCTTTGTTGAGACTCTCTCAGCTCAGCTTCCCCCACGCCTGATCCTGTGTCCATGCCTTTCCTCTACAACTGGCAATCCCACAAGCACGAGCTAGGAAGCTTCCCAGATGCTCATCTCCAGCTCAGAGTCTCTTTCCCAGGGGCCCCAATCTAAGACAAGGGGCCCCTGGGAAACAGATGCTGAGCTGGAGATGAGCACCTGTGTATCTGGATAAATGCGTGCATGTGCAGGTGCATCAAGAATATTTTCTGTCCCTTTAAGTCTGCTCCTAAAGTGGCCACTCTCGATTGTCCCACCTTGCCCTGTA